ATATAAATTAAATCAGTGGCTAAGTAGCGAAGAAAAGCGAGCAGAAAGGACTAAACATAAACTAAAAGAAGACATAATGCATGGTCATCAGCAAAAAGATGAGCCCAAAACACGAATTACAGATCAGAGATACCAAAATCAAACAGCTACAGGAATTGAAATATCTGGGAAGAGTTCTAACAGAGCAGAGAGAGTGTGACACTGAGATCCGAATAGGTATTGTGGGGCCAAAGACGCTTTCCAAATGCTCAGCAGAGTATGAAGAGACAGGAAAATTTCACAGGAAAAAATGTACTAAAATGTAACGTTATATCTATCCTCCTTTATGCCATCGAATGCTGGAAAATCTCCTCAATGATGAAGTGATTCGAAGAAATACGGTTCTACTGAAGGATTCTATAGATACCATGGACCAAACATGTGAGCAATGGAGAGGTTTTAGAGAGAAAGGAAACAAAGAGGAAACTTATATTTAACATCAGGAAGAGGCAGTTGAAATTTCGGGGGCGCGTAATGAGAAAGGAGGACTTAGAAAATCTGGTACTCACGGGACGAATAGAGGGAAATACAGACAGGGGAAAACAAAGCAGGACGTAGTTAATGTGCTTAAGCAAATGTATGCCAGTTACGTTTTAAGAGAAATTACAAAAAGACATATCTTAAAAGATCTACAAGGAACAGGATGATGTTGTTGACAATAATCGCCTGAAAAAACATAGCACATAAAAGAAGAAAGGTGACACAATCATGCCAGCCAGTTTCATAGAGATTGGGTCAAAGGAAGTACCAAAGTAATATTATATTTACAAACAACTGAAATACAATAACATGGCTTATAGATTCACATAATCTCTGCGATTTAATATTTACTATGGTTAAGTGATGACCTTTTATTTTTAAGAGAACAATTAGGTGGATTTTTGAAGGCAATATAATCAAAAGTAAAGAGTAATATCAAATGAAATCTCTTAGTGGAGGATAGAAAAACTATACAAAATGTTCATTATCCGTCAGATAATTTTTGACGGGCCTCTTAAATGCCAAGACATCAGGGCTTTACCATATTCTAGCCACTTAAAAGCCGCATAATATTTGCGTACAGCAGTCAATTTATAGACTAATAATATCTTACTTATTATAAAATGCAGATTGTGTGTGTGTGTGTGTGTGTGTGTGTGTGTCTGTACGTTTATATATTGGATCGGATTTCCTATATTTTTCAACCGATTTCAACAAAACTTCACAGGACTACGTAAAATTACCTTGCGGTGGTTCTGACAGCGCCAAAAATTGGAAAAAAATACAATTGTTTTTGCACGAAATCAATTTGAAAACACGATCAAGAGGCATTAATGAAAGGGGGACAACTCATATCGAGTTATACTTATTATAAAACCCAGGTTGTTTGTTTGTTTGTGTGTGTGTTCGTTTATATATGGGATCGGATTTCCTACATTTTTCAACCGATTTCAACAAAACTTCATTTTTTTTTGGCAGGTAGTGTTTCTTATTGTCTTGCACACTTTTTTCTTTATTTTTACATTCAGAATGCTTTAAAAATTCCATTTAAAAGACAATTGTTTATAATAAAATTCTAGTCAATCGATAGACTCATAACGATTGAAAACAATGTTTTTGTTTGAGTTTGGGTTTGACCAATTCGTAAAAAAAAAGAAAAAAAAATTAAGACAGGCGTTTCCGTCAACCTTAAACAATAATCTTTGTCAATTTTATTTTTCAGTCTTTATGATGGTCGATACTTGATCTATCTCTTACTGTTACATCCCCGGGCAACGCCGGACTCTACTGCTAGTAATAAAATATTTTTAAAGAGAAATATATAATTTAATCCACTTTCTTCTCTGTTATTTTAAATAAAAAAAAAACATTGAATAGGATGCAGATAGATTCTAAGACCAAAATTCATCTAATTACTACATACCAGATACGGACATATTCTTTCACTTACGTATATATTTAATGAACAATCAGTATATGTTTCTGTAATTGTGAAATTTATCTATATTTATAACCACCACGAGAGCGTATCATGACGCTAGTGATTACAAATATTATAATAAACGTCGTTAAATGACACAGAAACCCGATGGCTTTTTTTTAAAATCGTGTTCAGCCCATGTAAAACAGTAATGTCACTGAGAAACAAGGAGTTACTGGGTGTGGACGTGTCATTGTTAAGGAGTGAGAAAAAAAGAAGAGTAATCAGGAGGACAATAGATAGTTATTGATATTGCATTCAGTGAATGATGACTTCCAGATAAAGACGCGACAAAAACAGATATATGCTCCTAAGAAATGAGGCTGTAAATGCAATGGATGTAATATGCCAGCAAAGAGAATTCTTTACAAAAAATTTGAATAGAAATAACACTTGAGCAAACAGGCTGGTGTAAATTTATAAGGAAGGATAAAAAATATAAGAGAGGTAATATTGCCCAGAGATAAAAAGGAGAAGAAATAGAGGAGAGTCGTTATCATGCATATGTTGTACGGATACGGTATGCAAAAGACGTAATTGCGGCCTAAATTAACAATAAACTACTAACCGAGATGTCATTTTCATGAACGACTTTTGAAAAAGAACTTAGTCCAAAAAAGGTCATGTACTCTCGATGAAATCCTGTTGTTTGATCCTATCATCAGATCTTGGGAAGTACGTCAACAATTCAATTTTCCGCAACGATATTTGTCATTAGTTAACTATAAAAGGCATTGGAATCAGTAGGACACTCGGCTATCACTAACTCGCTACGATATCAAAAATACTATCGAAAACTATGTTTTTTTTTTAAAGATTATTTTATTGCAATATTTAATCTACGAAAGACTGAGATAACATTAAGATAATGGTTATGATTTTAATATTATGACAGTTTAAATAAAATCCCTAAAATTACACCAAATCAGCAAGTTCGGGAGTTGTTAATGGCGAACCGACAAGTTATCATCGATGTGTTGGTATGAACTCTGTATATTCGGATCACTGTCATTTGTTCCTCTTTGGCGTGCACACTACTAGCGGCGGGGCCATGCTTACAGTGTAACTGCAGCAGGTAAAATTGCGCGATGAAGCTGAAAGTACGATCACGTGACCACAACATTACAAATAAATAGTGGAACACATGAGCGAGGGGGTGAATGTTTTAATTATCCTTATCTATCTCTCTCTCTCTCTCTATATATATATATATATATATATATATATATATATATATATATATATATATATATATATGATTAATGTAAGTAAATCTTTGTAACTTAGCTGATCGATGTTACCTTCAGCATTCACACTCCGGAGATTCATAGGCGGTTCTGTCCGTCCACTCTTCAGTGGGTATCATCAATTTACTGCTTATATTTTCTTGCTTTTATCTCTTTTTATGCATATTTACCATTGGTATAAGTGTTATTCTGTATTTCTGTGTTCGTGTGTGCGTTTGTGCGCGTGTGGACATGCGCTTCTCACTGCGGATGAGTGATCGCTCTCGTGTGTCTGTCTGCGTGGATACACATTCATGTAGGGAGTCGTGATCATTTCTCTCTTTCCTTTGTATTTTTTTTTTTCATTTTACATTCGTTCATTTAGCCTTCAATTTTTCATAGCCAGACGGTAAGTTGTTAGAATATTTACCGTCTGGTCATGGTCGATTTTCCTGTGCATTGATTTCCTAATAATATCGTACTTGCAGGCGATCCCAGAGAGTTGACTCTTTGGAAAGTGCCTGAGTTCGTTTCTAAGGGTTAATCCAAGTCTTGTTAGAAAAACTGCGTAGATGATACTATTTGGAAATATCTGCAAATCATCGATGCTTGTCCTAGCACGAAGTCACAAGTTAGAGTTTAATCGTTCTGGCCTTGTTCAAAAACTTTATCCATCTATATGATGCGCGGACTCCCAGAAATTATAACTATGATATGAACAGTAAAGTTGAAGTATAGTCAACAGGTTGTCCCTATAATGGGAATTAGATAACCGTCCTAGAATGCTCAGAAATGTGTAGACAGCCATTGCGTATGGACGTATATATGTATGTTGACGTGGGTGTGTGTTCGGCCCATTAACCTCGCGTTACGAATCTCACTATGATGGATTTCTCAAGGAATGAAAATACTGGCATGTGGGCCACAAACTTTGTAACTTCCTGGAAAATATATTTGAGCTTGACACGATTAAGCACAAAAAAAACATAAACGTGTTGAGCGAAACATTGTGAGTGACATTGGTCTTTGATGAAACCGTTTATTGATGGCTCTGCTAGTTGTTACTCGTCATCATGTCCGAATATTTGAGCGGACTGGCCTTGTCTAACCACTTATCATTCTAGATTATGCTATCTATCCGCCCCCTCCTCTCTCTCTCTCTCTCTCTCTCTCTCTCTCTCTATATATATATATATATATATATATATATATATATATATATGTGTGTGTGTGTGTGTGTGTGTGTGTGTCTGTGTATTTGTTTCTATCTGCCTATGTCTCTCTGTCGGAAATAAAGGGGCTACGATTATAATGTACCTTAGTCTATGTTGCGCGACAAGAGCATGTAATGAAGCTTTGCAACACTGTATGTTAACAATCACACTAATATCTGCTTCTTTCTGTTAAATATCATGTAACTTATCGTGGATTTTTTTTTTCGATTTTCATTCATGACGCCTTCACACTATTGATTCCATTATCCAATGCTTACTAATTTTCGATGTTTTTTTCTATTTCTTATTCTTTTTTCTTTCTCGGTGTATTTTCTTTATCTTCTTTGGGTTTTTCGTCATTTTCTTTTCTAGTCTACGTCTTTCTTTAGCACCTCTTTTAGCACCTTCTTTTTCTCCCTCAATTTCCTTTTTTTTCTTTTTCTCCCTCAATTTCCTTTTTTTTCTTTTTCTCCCTCAATTTCCTTTTTTTCTTTTTCTCCCTCAATTTCTTTTTTTTTTCTTTTTCTCCCTCAATTTCCTTTTTTTCTTTTTCTCCCTCAGTTTCTTTCTTTTTCTTTTTCTCCCTCAATTTCCTTTTTTTTCTTTTTCTCCCTCAATTTCCTTTTTTTTCTTTTTCTCCCTCAGTTTCTTTCTTTTTCTTTTTCTCCCTCAATTTCTTTTTTATCTTTTTCTCCCTCAATTTCTCTTTTTCTTTTTGTCCCTCAATTTCTTTTTTTCTTTTTCTCCCCCAGTTTCTTTTTTTTGTTTTTCTCCCTCAGTTTCTTTCTTTTTCTTTTTCTCCCTCAATTTCTTTGTTTCTTTTTCTCCCTCAATTTCTTTTTTTTTCTTTTTCTCCCTCAATTTCCTTTTTTTTCTTTTTCTCCCTCAGTTACTTTCTTTTTCTTTTTCTCCCTCAATTTCTTTTTTTCTTTTTCTCCCTCAATTTCTTTTTTTTTTTTTCTCCCTCAATTTCTTTTTTTCTTTTTCTCCCACAGTTTCATTTTTTCTTTTTCTCCCTCAATTTCTTTTTTCTTTTTCTCCCTCACTTTCCTTTTTTTTTCTCCCTCAATTTCCTTTTTTTCTTTTTCTCCCTCAATTTCATTTTTTACTTTTTCTCCCTCAATTTCCTTTTTTTCTTTTTCTCCCTCAATTTCATTTTTTTTTTTTTTCTCCTCAATTTCCTTTTTTTTTTCTTTTTTCTCCCTCAATTTCTTTTTTATCTTTTTCTCCCTCAATTTCTTTTTTTCTTTTCTCCCTCAATTTCTTTTTTTCTTTTTCTCCCTCAATTTCATTTTTTACTTTTTCTCCCTCAGTTTCTTTCTTTTTCTTTTTCTCCCTCAATTTCTTTTTTATCTTTTTCTCCCTCAATTTCTCTTTTTCTTTTTGTCCCTCAATTTCTTTTTTCTTTTTCTCCCCCAGTTTCTTTTTTTTCTTTTTCTCCCTCAGTTTCTTTCTTTTTCTTTTTATCCCTCAATTTCTTTGTTTCTTTTTCTCCCTCAATTTCTTTTTTTCTTTTTCTAATTCTTACTAGTATTCTTCTCGTTCCTCTTTTTTATACTTTTTAAAATATTTTTTTTCTTTTTATTGTTCAACTACTCCAGTTCAATTTTCGTCCTTTTTCTTTTCATTTTCTACTTTTTCCTCCTGTAATTCTCTTTCCGACGGATTTTCTACTTTCTTCTTTTTTCCCTTTTCTTTTTATTTTCTTTTTCTACGTCTTGTTCTTCTTTGTCTTATTTTTTATTTCTTCTTTATTTTATCTTTTCCATTTTTGTTTTTCCTTGTAATTCTTCTTTTATTTCTTCTTTTCTTTTGCTGAGCGATTTTCTTTCTTTTACGTTTCATTTTCTTTATTCTTTTTCCTTATATCTTTCTTTGATTTTCTCATTTTCTTTATCTGCTTCCTTCATCGATTTTCTTCATTTTTCTGTTGCGTATATTTCTTTTTCTACTTTTGCAATTTTTTCTTTTAGTTACGTCTTATTTTTCGCCTTCTTTACTTTTTCCTCTATTCTTTCTTCTTCTTCTTCTTTTTCTTCTTCTTCTTCTTCTTCTTCTTCTTCTTATTATTATTATTATTATTATTTTACAAATTATGTTCAGTATTTGCTTCATTGTTCCAATCTATTCCTTCAGATCAGCAAGCTTCTAATTCATTCTTTCTTTCATCCATTTTCACTATCCACATTAATATCTATATATCTCAGTTTCCAGCAACATATTACCACTCTCGATTGCAATTTAGCCTATCTTTATCTTTTCTTAAAATATCTTTTTCTCATAGCAAGTTTCATTATTCCTTCAATTCTCTCTCTGTCTCTTTTTTCTCTCTCTTTCTCTCCATCTCTTTGTCCACTCTCTACGTTTATAATCGATACATTCACGGATTACGAAGTTCAAAGAAAAACAGACTATTTTCGCTGCGAGATAAGAGATCCCATGTAAATTGGGGAGAAAAAGTTATTAAGGATATTATCAGTGGACGAGAGATAACTATCATCTCTTTCACTCAGAGCCGCAGGCCTGAACAAAACGAAGCCTTGCTGAGCGCCAAAAATAATGTCGGTGGACGGGAAAATCGGTGCGGGTTGGAACACAATGTGCGTTGACTTGGACAGCAGACGCCATCTTGGGTCTTTTCAACTGTTGATGCAAATATGCATACTTCAATTTTAAGTTATGAGAATCTTTCATCTAGATTCAAATAATATGAGTATTAACTGAACGAGTTCTTTTTTATTACACACCATTACAAAATACACAAACACACAACCATATATATATATATATATATACGTGGGTGGGTCCGAGTATGTTTACGTGTGCCTGCTCGCAATATGCATATCTTGGCATCTTTAAACTTCGGCATCTCAATTAACTCACTGCTACACATGTTAAATGTTAGAGATAGACTAGCAGCAAATGCACACGAATGACAAATGTAACCTAGTCTACATAGCCACAAAGGCTTGTCTGTCATAAAATGTCTTTGAACTTAATATGTAAAATACGTGGGATTTGCATCCTATATTCATAAGGACTTTTGTCCTTGTTTTGATGTAATGGACCGCGCCTATATTTCGCAAAATATTTTAATACACCCTACACACACCCTACACACACACACACACACACACACACACACACACACACACACATATATATATATATATATATATATATATATATATATATGAATTCGCCCTCTAAATGAAATTTTCTCTATATATAACTGCATGAATACACCGAATTCTCTCTACACATATATGCACATACAGACATACGTATAGTTGCACAAACATGTTCTGACAGACACATACGTATACAGTAGTCAGCAGAAGAAACACGACTTTTTCTATATGCCGCTCTCTTCATGACATAGGGGAATATAGGCCACCACACATCCCTTGTGTACGTTAATAATTTTTCTTTTTCGCTAATAATATCTGCCACCCCCGTTCAGCTATCCATTGATACATGCTCGCCACTCTTTCACTGTCATTCTAAATCTAACTTGTACTTTATGTGTCCAAGAATTATTTTTCTGATTTCGATACTTTGTGTTGACAAGTTCTTTAAGATTTCCTTGTTTTTACACGGTCTTGGAATTTGATACTTTGTTAAAAATGCCCAATCTTTACGAAGAAGCATAATGAATTCAACGTCCTACTTTCAAGAAACGTATCTGTGTTTATTTAAACTGAATGGCAAGCTGTCACATTCACCCAAATCGAATCGGAAGACAAACCAGATGGCATCGTCAGAGTGAAAATATGGCTTTAATATTATGCGAACAACGAAATGAAACGCAAGATTAGATGTTTTTTTTTTTGAGATTATAAATAAAAATGCATGAGTATTTTTTTTAATATATGCAAGGATGATTCAAAACGAAATTCAACCGGTCCGAAGAAGACTTTTGAAACTCATCAATTGATCTGGAGTTGACGCTAGAAACCGAGTCTGAAGGCACAAATTCTGGAGCAGTGGGGACAAGAGACATCAAGAATAATGAACACGAATCTATCTTGCGTAAAGATAACCCTATAAATCACAGGTTCACATGCCTACTTGTTTAAGTAGTCACCACATTACTGAATTGCAGTTCCATCTACAAATAATTTCATGTATTACAGCTTCTAAAAATTCATCTGGCTGCTAATATATCCATTTCATTATTGCCACTTCTTCATCACCACCAAACGTTCTATCTCTTTGAACCAAGGTAAGATTAACAAACTGTGCCGAACTTTATTCTGGTTATCAAGAAATGTAAATTGCTGTTAGGAATTGTTTACATCAGTAGCTAGCTGAATTTTACGAATATGGGATTTGTGAGCTCATTCTCAGGTGGAATAAATCCATTAAATAAATATATAAGGACAATGTTGAGAAGAAGTAGTGCAAAACTACGGTGTATCAATATAATATATTGTTCCGGAATCTATGCTGAGTAAGATGTATCAGAAGGTGATTTTTTTTCTGAAGGCCGAGAATATGTGTGATCATAATGCATTTATCCACAACAAATAAATCAAACAAAAATAAATAGACAATTAGACTTCAAGAAATTACTGAAAACAACGTCATTAGAGATTTCAACAATAACGTGAATAATATATATATATATATATATATATATATATATATATATATATATATATATATATATGACATACACAAAGTGATAATAAGTTGCTTCTTGCATATGGCAAGTGAGATAAGATTACAAAGATTGTCCATGCAGAAATTTAGTGAGTAAGTGTTGATAGTATAAATTTGTTTGTGGAATTTATATCGTTTGATATCTGCAAGGAAAATTTTGAATTGTGCGTGTTCAAGTGATAGTGTGTATGTGTGTGACAACTGCTAGTGTTGATTTGAGTTATGAAGAGTTGTTCGTTTTTAACTGATAGGCTAAAGTTGATTGAATGTACAATTCCTGTTTTGTAATGATAATGTCACATTTGAGTAAACAGTAAGTTAAATCTCTTCACGCGGCAATAGCTGTGCGAGTTGTATTGAGTTGTTGAGAGGATGCTAGTGGTTATTGAGCAAGTGAGTTGGCACACGTGGGGTCTGCTGGTATTTTCGAAACTCAGTGTCTGACTAACTTGAATTAAGTCGGGCGTCTCTCTTTAGAGATTTTCGAGTTTCCAAATAGGCTCCAGAGTCCTGCGCGGGAAAAAGGTTTGTCTCAACTTTACTAGATTTTAGTGTCCTTTTAACCAATGGTGGATTGAGTTTGGAAAAGTAAAGTGATGATTTGTTAACGGTTTATTTGGGGAAGAGTGCATATTCCCGTAGGGGGTGACAGGCAAATGTGGAGGATTCCATAATATGCTTGAGTGTCATACTCATTACTTCTCGGCTCATCCTCCTACTTAGAGAGATAAAGTTCGTAATAAGTATTTGGTATGGCTCATATTCGCAAAACTCTACAGCCTCAACACAAATAGGACTTTAAATATCATACATCAGAAATGCCTTTCTGTTGATAGTAATACAAAGAATCTTGTAAATTAATTCTGTTTCTGTTATGAATCATTGGTTTTAGATATTTCTAGAAATTGGGTATATTATATAAAGTTAGAGGTATCGTGTAGGCAAAGATGTGAGAAAAGGTTTTTTTCTCACTCATGATGAATAGCAAAGTTATATATCATGTGATAGTTCAGTTTCTGTTATACCTGGTAATAGGTGGCACTTTAGCAAAGTAGTATATTTATCGCTGTAAGTTGAAAGTTGGTACATGGAATAGGACAAGGCGAACCCAAGAAAATGAAGAAAGACAGAATCAATGGTGCAAAATTAGGGCAAATGCGTTGGCAGAGTGTGTAACCGACGGAGCGCGCTCGTGTACCATTGTCAACTAAACATATTTAAACTTTGAAGAAGCCCACCCGGTGTCAAAATACCAATATTCAAAGAGAACAATGCAACTTTGGTATTGGTCCCAACAATCGATGTCTCGTGTCCCCACAGCTCCAGAATTTGTGATTCAGGCTCGGTTTCTGGTGATACCTCCAGATCAATTGATCTAAAATGTCTTTTCAGACCGGAAGGACAACCATGATGATTTGTATTTTACGCTCTTTTATATTCCATCATTACTTCTCGATTCCTTGGTTTGGTTTGTTTTATGGCATATCAAACTCAATGGTTTATTTAATGCCGACAAATTTTTTATTGCTGTCATTATTATATTTCTTTTCAAAAATTTATTGCTGGTAATATTTTTTACCTTCAAAAATATATTTCCGGTAATATTTTTTTTTCTTCAAAATGTATCGCTGGTAATAATTTTTTTCCAATGATTGAGTATCTAGTAATTTTTTTCAAATATGTTTTGCTGGTAATGTATTCCTGGTAATAATTTTTTCCTTCGAAAATTTGTTGCTAGTAATATTTTTTTTACAAAGTATTTCTTGTATTAAAACTTTTTTTTTACACTTTCATAGTGTTTTGACTCCAGTTTGGGTGTTAACTATATCCCAATAGCTGGGACCCTAACAGGTGCTACCACCTACGGTCAGATTGATCCTGGGAACAACAGCAATTAATATGCCTTTCGACATAGCCTCGTCTGGAGATCCTCTCTGACCAAAAGCAGAGAGTTTGACCAGCACAGCTTAAGACGAATCTCCAACTGCAGGGTATCCGCCAACCACTCCGCCCCCAAGCGGTTAGACGTGGCACAAGGCTGAATTGAATGTGATTTATCCGAGCCAGTAGGCTCGGCCCAAAATCCCCGTAGACACGGTATAAGAGGGTCGGGTAGCTGTTTCCCGGGACGAGACTCTGCCGTTCGGCAAAGCCTCGTCTGGGAATCTTCCTGCCTGGAGGCATAGATTTTGACCAGCATAGCTGGCGACGAATCTCCAATTGCAGGATATCTACCAAACGCCCCACGCGATCAGATGTGGCACAAGGCCGAATTTAATGTGAGGTTATCCAAGCCCGTAGGCTCGGCTAAAAATATCCCGGATAAAACGGGGTTGGGCAGCTGTTTCCTGAGATGAGACTCTGCCCTTCGATATAACCTCGTCTGTGGATCTTTACTGACCGGAGGTAGAGATTTTGATCAGCATAGCTGGAGACAAATCTCCAACCGCAAACCAACATACAGTATTTACTACTGTATTTATATAAATGGGCACATAACCATTATTGCCGTACGTATACTATAACAATTCTCATTAATATATTTAAATTTTGCTCGCTTTTTATTATCTCAATGAAGAGTCTTCTCGCTTATATATGATGTTTCCTTGCGATGGTATTGTTAATGGTAATATTAGACATCATGAGGAAACCCTAGGTATTAATTGACCAAGCAGAAAAGGTTGTCAGGTTGAGATTTCTAAAATCTTTCTCTTGAAACACTCAATGAGGAAAATAATTTTCTCCTCTCCATTAAATCATATCAATCTTTCCAGTATTGATGGGAGCCCAATTCTTAACCTTTTTTTTCTGAAGCCATGTTTAATGTCAACTACTTGATTAAGCCATTTTTTTCAGTTGTAGTTACATATGATATTCATTTTAATTGTTATTGTTGTTGAAATCCTCAAGTGATGGGATTTATGTTATTTATTATTGTTTTGTT